GTGCGTGCGTGCGTGCGTGCGTGTGTGTGTGTGTGCGCGCGCGCGCGTGTGTGTCGATGGCATTAAACATGTGCGAAGAATTGATGATCTCGAATTCGATTGATCGAAGCGCTGCCGCGTCTTCTCCTAGCTAGCTAGCTTCGTCCAATTAACAAAGCTTGTCATGATTCTTGATCGCCATCTTGGTACGGATGTCCTGGCAACGGCTACAGCAGCGCCGCGTGACGGCAATGATAGAAATTAATTTCATTCATCACGCAACCCCCGCGCGCGGGCATCGAGAAATTGCGACGGCGAATGTTACGGCAAATGGCGTTCGCATGGTTTCTCGTACAACACGAGGAAATATATCGTTAGTGTGTGAATAATATTAGAATGGCAAGCGATAAGGCAGTGGGACAGAGAAGGTGTTGGGGATTAAGTATCAACATGTCTATTCCAGCTAGGAGGTGTGGGTGTATGAAATGCCTTATACTCTTCTGGACCCGGTACCACAGACGTAGATTTACTTTATCTCTGAGTTAAGAGTTAATCCAAGACTGTGGAACCGGGTCCTGTACTTTTGTAGTACGGTGTTTTAGCTTTGAGATGGAGACATGGGTCATTTCTGCACATTACTCAGGCAAATGTTCAGCGACGGCCAGCGATTAGACCCAGAAGACATTAGCTACATACTTAAGAGCAGACAAAATTCAACGTGGACAGAATGCATTTCAGAATGGTACGAACGCATTAACTTCAACAAGAATGCGACGCGGTTTATGAGACGGCCATTATTAACCGGGCAACGTCGACGGTGGTCGGCGCTCCTTTTTACGTTAGTCGCGACCGGTCGTTATATCCACGACCCGCACCATAAATTAGTGGAAGGCTAAACAGGTCGCGACGACGATGCGGACGGTTTAAAAAGGAGGGGTTTTGATGAAAACGGGAGAGACGTCGGCAACCTTTAACCGATACGTGCACACTGTTTTGACTGTGCTGTTCATCCGTGTCTATAATAAAACCGTAATTGCCACCGCTTACACAACTGTTACGTCTACTGTCTACGTACCATATATTTGACTTTACACTTTATTTACTACTCCGTACCTCAAGTCAGGTGGTACGGAATCGCGAGATTTTATTCAGAAGGTTTATGAACCGAGGTTACTTTTTTGCATTTTCTGTGCAACTCCGTACAGAACGACAGGAGATAGCGGTTATATTGAAGTTGCATCTCATAGATTCGCGTGAACTAGAGGAACCGGGGCTTCTTTGCTGTACCTTCTACACTATACGCTAGCTCCCTTTGCGTTTTCTTTTTAATATTTCCGATAAACTTCCGATCTTTTCCCTTGAAAGAGAAGAGAGCGCACGCGCGCAAGCGAGAGAGAGAGCGAGAGAGAGAAAGAGAGAGAGTAAGAGAGAAAGAGATAGATAAAAAGAGAGAGAGAGCGAGCAAGAGAGAGAGAGAGAGAGAGAGAGAGAGAGAGAGAGAGAGAGAGAGAGAGAAAAAAGAGAGAGAGAGCGAGCAAGAGAGAGAGAGAGAGAGAGAGAGAGAGCGAGAGAGAGAGAGAGAGAGAG